CTACTGGAAGCCGCATCGGCTGCTCCACTCTCGCTAGCACCCGCGGCCGTCGCGCGAATTGCCGCGCAATTGAAAGCCCACGGGGGCCCGTGTCTATCGAGCGGGGGCCCGCTGTTTATCGCGCGCAATCAAATCCACGACTCGCCCGGGCACGAGCCCCATTTTCTCAGCCACGCCAGCCAATCGGAAACGCGCGACTGCGCGCGGCGCTGGCCTTTGCCGCGCGAACACACACGCACGCTGACATGATCGACTTGCTCTGGGACATCCAGATCAGCGTCGAGTAACCACTCCACTACAGCAAGATCAAGTTCCAGTACGTTGAACCCTGTACGTTCTTCACCGGCGCCCACGATGTCACGTTCTCCACCAGCGCGCCCAGGTTTGCGCCGTTGCGCGCTTCCGCCGGCTTACCCCGAAACTCCCCCAGCTCCCGCGACCTCTCGTTCCTCTACTTGCACCGCCCACTTCATACCCAACTTGTCTAACTCTCCCATCGCCTCCTGGATCCCCTGCCAGTCTTCTTAGCGCCGCTGAACTCGGCGGAGCAACGCCGGCCAGGCGCCCGTCGCCACTGCCGCCGGAGATCACGGCTAACTCAGCCCATCCCACCAGAGGTCCTCGCATTTCCCATTTACCTCCGTCTTTCCAATCATCGGTTATCCCCCATCTCGCCACTTTCCCGATACGTCGCACGCGCGCGCCCCCATTTGCTCAATCCTTTCGGGGCTCCAACCCCCATGCCGCCACGCGCATGCACGTTGGCGATGGGCCCATGGCTGCGTCGATTGGCTCACCTGTCTTTCACGACCCAGCCGTCGATCAATGAATCATTCCGGCCCTTGCCCTTCCGGGAACAGTCGAGCTCCATCCATAGCTGAACTGAGGCAAATCCTCCTGGGATGTTCTGGTCAACCCGTTGCCAAGCAGAGACCCCCAGGAGCCGCGACGATTTCAGCGCGGGGAAATGTTCAACGCGTTGCCCTCCTCATGAAACTGGACCGCGGGAAAGCAACATGGAACGCCCGCACGCCATCGAATGGCCGCGCGCCGCCTGTCCCGGCCATAGAATCGCGCCAGTCGCGCCGCGGAGGCGCGACCAACGTAGCCCCAGAGCCAGGCCGTCACGCGACCGCTATGGAACTCATTCATCCCCGCGATGACGTCTCGTTCCGCGGTCGTCGGGCATAGCGCCCGCGCAAATCTCGACGCGCGCTGCCGTCGAGGCGCAGACGGAATCCGCGCGCGCAGCCATCGAAACGCCACGCGCTGCCCCGGCCGCGCGGCCGACAGCTTGCGCGGGAGAAACACCTCCCAAGCTGATCTACGATGGAACGCACCGGCGCGGGACCGACGGACCACGAGAGAGGGCCACTTCGGAGGCCCCACATGAAGAAGAAACGCTCGAGCGCGAGCGACGCGCGGGGAATTGGCGGCACGCCGGAAGCGGCTGGATCTCATGCCCGCGCAAGTCGAGCAAACTCCGCTTCTGGGGGGCGGCGCTCGCGGGGCCCTCCGCGGGCGCGGGGGCCGCTGGCGCAGACTCTGCCGCCGCCGCGGCGGGGCCCCGGCGCTCTCCCCCGGGGGCCGCGGCGCCCGGCTGCGCCGGTGGCGGAGGAGGGGGACCTGAGGGCAAACGTCGGCTTCGAAGCATCATCGGCCGCGGGCGCGGCGGCGCAATCGCGAACCCGCCGCGCGAGGCAGCGCCGCCCGCCGCGAGGGCATCCTCTCCAACCGAGCGCCGGCCCCCGGGGGAGCCCCTGGCCCCCTCCCCGACTCCCCCGCCGTCTTTCCGCGGCGCCCTCCTCCCCCCCCGTTTGGCCACGATTTCGGGCACTTTTTTGGCCCCGGTTTGGCCCGCTGTTTTGGCCCCCCTTCCGCGGAGGCGCACTTCTTTGACCGCGATGTTTCTCGCCATTAATTCAACAAGGAAAAAAAACGTTCAAAATCGTGGGCGGTTTCGTGGGGCATTCCATGGGGGCGCGGAATTGTGGCCGAAAACCGCAAGCAAAATCGCGCCCGAAATCGCCGGCAAAATCGCGTCCGAAATCGTCGGCGAAATCGCGGCCGAAATCGCGAAAGATCTCCGGCGACTGCCTCGCCGCATTTCTACTTCGCGCGTACGGGGCGGCCCATGGGGGCCCCCCGACGTAAAGTGCCCTGGCCAAGTCGGGCCAGAGATGGTTTTTCTCCTGGGCGCGGCTTTCAGGCGCCCCAAGGCGATCCAAAAGGGCCCTAAGAGGCGCCCGAGACGGTCCGAGAGGGCTCCGAGTCGTCGAACGATCGGTCCGCGACACCCAAGATGACTTCCAGACGACCCACGACGCGCACAAGACCCCCGAAGAGGCTACCGCGAGCTGAAACGATACCCGACAACGCGAGTCTGGCACTTCAAAATCTAATATTTGTTGCTTCGGAAAACACAAGATCGTTGCACCAATCCGCTTTGGGGACGCAGCTTCATGAGACTTGACTTCTAAGCCACTCGATAACAAGTTCTCGACATAACGCGCTGTGGAATTCGTGGGTGACGTATCCTCCGGTCACAGCCCTGCACTCGCAACATCCCGGCGTGGGCCCAACAGCCATGCACTCCGACTTCTTTACCGCGACCCAGCCGGATACTCAAGGCAGGCATCTCTAGCTAAAGCTTGAGTGGGTACAACCATCGGCAACACCACTCCGGGTACAAACTCACTGTGATCCCACTTCTGCTCCCCACTTCCTTTGCGCCTGAATTAGCGGGACTTGATGCCACTCTCTGGAGCGCCAACCACTAACTCCTGGCTAGTTGAATGTGGCCCCAGAAATACACCACTCCCCCACCTTGCTCTGAGGTTGTTGCCTTCTTTCTTGGGCGGGGTCTTCAGGTGCATGATGCATTCTCCAAACTCGGGCAACGGTTCGCTGAATTTCCCCCCTCGGCACCTTTCGTTGGCCGTCTTGCAACCAGCGTTTATTGCAATTTCGTTCATGGGAGAAGACGCGTAAGCCACTAGCCAAGGTATAAGTGCGGGCCCCTCCCCAAACTCAGTTTTATACTTATTGTCCACCGCAACCTCTTTCATGCCCGACGTTGACCTTTCACTGTTCTGATTGCCGTCGAATTTGCCATTCGCTTGGGAATCTGCGACAGGACTAATTTCTACCCCCATGCTGAGGTCGCACGAAACTGTCAGTTCCCTCGAACATCGTAATGAATGACCCTCCTATGTTGCAGCACTCTCTTGTGGCCAGGACATGAAATCATGCCACAAAATACCTTGGCTAAGTACGGATACGTGCCCTTTTGAAGTGCAACTCGGCGCCAGATTAACATTGTGCGCCGGCAGTGCAGGACGATGATTGGGTGTCTTCTTCCTCATGGTCTCCTCTCTTCCCGCCCAACCAAAAGTAGTCGTCTGAGATCACTAGTATACATTATCCAGGTGTCCTCTTTTTTTTCCGCGGGATCTCCTCCAGGTTTTTCCTCTGGCGCAGCGGGGTAAATGAGTTTGATGTCACAACTCAATGTATACGCTGCTTGGTCCTAGGCCATACGCGATACTTCTCGGTACTTTAGCCTCCTCACCGACAAACACATCCTCGACATCACTTTGTTTATCGCCCTCATCCTCGTCCACTTCGTCTTCCTCCAAATTCACGATGACTAGAGTTTGACTTGATCATGCTCATCGCGCGCCTCGTCCTCGCTGACATCAGATCCATCGCAAAGTTGACGGCGACAGTGTGCACTAGTTGGGCCATAGCATGCGTCGAAGGTGGCTTCACAGACATAATGGAGATCGCAGGCAGACGCTACCAGGAGATCTCCCAGGGCCTCGCCGAAATAAAGAAGAAGGAGAACCCGTAGATGCCAAAGGTCGAGAGCCCCCGCATCTACACGTGTTCATGAGCGCCATGTCTTTCTCGCAAAAGCAGACGACCCAGTGGGGCATGGAGTTAAAGGAGCTGTACATGAGTCAGCTGAAGCAAATACCCCTTTTACAGATGAGAGAGGTTGTACTTCACTGGCAGTGCAAACGCAACAATACTGGGAACGAACACGCAGTCGAGAAGCGAGGACGGTTGATCGCAGCGATGGACTCCGACCACAAGCTCGGCCGCAAACTGATGCCACTGCTGCGCACGGCCATCTTGGACATGCAAGGAAAACGATTCAGAGGGCCCGCTCCCCGCGGCCCGCTCGAGAGAGACGCAGCGGAGCTCCTAGGCCAGCTCAACCAGCGAGGGAGGGAACCAGCAGCGCCAGCCCTTCAGAGCAGCCATCGGCTACGCGACCTGATCGAGCGAGGCATCGTGCCGCCCGATGCGCTCAAGCATAGGAGCTCCGCGCCCACCCAGCTTTCCCCCCACCCACTCCCCTCCGCCCGTCCGCATGGCCCTTTTAAGCCCAACACCCCGAGGACGAGGAGAGGGAGTAGTGGTCGGGGTCGTGGGAGGTCCCAGGGAAACCGTGTGTTAGAAGGGTAATGTGTAGCGACTGCTCCCTGCCCCGCAGGCGTTCCCTCGGGCGCCCCTCCCTCCCCCCCAGCTCGAGCTGGTGTCGGTTCCGCCGCCGCCTTCCCTTGTCGTTCGTTTGCCGTGTGCCCTCCTCATTGGGAGCATGAGGTCAGGCGAAATTCATCGGTCCCCAGGGGGCGCCCCCGCGGCTGCGTGCAGTCGGGGGAGGTTGCCCTGTATTGGGGCAGCGCGACCCCGCCAGAGGGTAGGGGTCACCAGTAAGGTTGCCAGGTTACAGAGAAACGCCATGCAGAGCCCCTAGGTCCAGCAAAGCCCGCAGGTTTCAAGCCACCCCGAGCTAAGTAGACACGCGAACTCCACGAGCCCGAGCCCGATCCCGATCCTCATCCCGCGCCTCCTCCTCCGCCGCCTCCCCCCCTGTGACGCGCCGTGAGAGACGCCCTCTTGGGCTTGGACACGAGCAGCATGCCCAAGACTACGACGGCGAAGGCGATGGTGGGCACGCCCACGACGACCGCCATGATGGCCAGGCGCACCTGCCGGCAGAACTGCGCAGGGGGGAGAAAGGAGGTGGAGAGACGAAGAGGAGGAGCGGGAGGGGGGGAAGGAGGAGAGCAGAACAAGGGCGGAGGAGGCGGAAGAGGAGGAGGACACAGACGAGAGCAGAAGGGCGACGAGGAGAAAGGAGGAGGGGGAGAAGGAGAACAGGAGCAGGGGGGGAGGAGGGGCAGCAGCAGGGAGGAGCAGTGGAAGGAGGAGCACTGGCAGGAGGGCAGGAGGGAGGAACAGGTCCCTGAAGGGAAACGCCGTATCAGCACGATAGGCGAGGCCAGAGGGGGCGACTGCCGCGGACAGCGGAGGGTTGTCGGCGATGTAACTAGGCATTCGGTGCCCACAAAGCATAGAGGAGGAGGAGGAGGAGGAGGAGGAGGAGGAGGAGGAGGAGGAGAAGGAGGAGGGGGAGGAGGAGGAGGAGAAAGAGGAAGAGGAAGAGCAGGAAGAGGAGGGGGAGGAGGAAACGGAAGAGGAGGAGGAGGAGGAGGAGGAGGAGGTTGAGGAAGAGGAAAAAGAGGCGGAGGAAAAGTGGCAAGATGAGCAGCGTCGTGAGGAGCGCCACGGGATCCACGAATCACTGGCGACGCCCAGTCAACAGCACCAGGGACGTGCGCGCGAAGGGGTTCTTGCCTTCTCGACGACGACGAGGACGACGACGGCGACGGCGACAGCGACGAGAAAGGACAAGGATAGATAGGAGAAATGTATCATCCGTCTAAGGACTGGCACGAAAGAACACTTCCACCTCTCACAATCAGTATCACAACCACCACGGGTATCATCAGCATCGTCATCATCAGAAGCATCAGGATCAGCACCAGCACCAGCATCAGCAGCACCAGCAGCATCATCATCATCATCATCATCATCATCATCAGCAGCAGCAGCAGCAGCAGAAGCAGCAGCATCATCATCGTCATCCAAACTGGGTGCTGCCGGTGTGCAAATGGAGGGGAAAACGGGCAACGTGCCTGGCTGCAGGCAAACGGTCAACCGTGCCGAGATCTTGGCGATGGCGCAGTATGTCATGGCCTATGGTGCGGAGGAGAGTGAGCTCCATTACACCACTGACTCGATGTACGTGGTGCGAGGCTGGCGGAGGCCAAGGGGCAGGGTGCCGCGGAGCCATCGCGAACTATGGAGACAGGGGCTGATGGAGGAGCGACGCTGCGAGCTGGCCATCCGCAGGTGGAGAGCCACATCGACGTGGACGAGGCAACCAACATGGGCTACCCCGTGCTGCACGTGCGGCTCAACAAAGCTGCAGATAAGCTCGCCGAGATGGCCGCGACAAAGATTCTGCACGCCCAAAATTGGTACGGAATCAAATGGGTAAGATGCCCAACAACAAATGTTGCCCAGAACCAAAAGCGGCCGCTGTTGGGCAGGCGGCCATCTGTCTCAAATGGACAACGTCCGCTGCGGCACCGACAGCGAGTCCTGTTCAACATTAACCAAAAATGATGTCGGTCTTGGTACCCATTTCGACCGTCCCGAAAGATGATGCTGACGGAGAGCGAGGCGCACGCGGTCCATGATGCGAATCAAGCTGGCCAGGCGCGGCTGGCGGCGGTCCTCCGGGACGCGGGCGAGAAGGGCCCCAGGGCGCCGCGGCCTTAGGCCGATGCTGCTCGCGAGCGGCCGCGGGCTTCCACGCCGTAAGAGGCTGCACTGCGGGGGACGAACCGCTCGGCGGAGGTCGCCGCTGGCGCCCGCGGCGCGGCAGTGTGCCTCCAGTGCCGCGAGTGGTTGTCCGAAGCGCGAGGCTCGAGGAGCACGTGCCTGGAGCGGCCGCGAAAGGCATGTGGCGGGCCGCCCATGGCGCCCGCGGCGGCTTTGGGCCCTGGGCCTGATGGAGGTGCGCGCCAAGCCGCGGAGCAGGCGAGCGGGTGGGCAGCTCACGGGGAGCTGCCCACTGGAGATCATAAAAGTGAAGGGGCCCACAAGCACACAGGTTTCCCATATTTCCCCATATTTTCTGGGCTTCGGTCTTCCTCCCTACTTCCCATATTTTCTCATCTTTTCCTGGGAGTCGACGATTAATTGTGTCTGTGTGTTTGTTTCCCTCCTGAGGAAGGGTGGGAAGGGAGATCACGGCGAGCTGCCCACAGCACAGCGTCGATCTGCTCCTGCGCGCGCCACGGGGACACCGCGGGCCAGGGAGGGCGACATGCTGAGGGGGCTGGCCAAGGCGTGCCCTCCGCCTGGGCGGCCGCCGTGCCAGGCAGGGCGCGAGGGCATCGCGCGCCTGGCGTGCTGGGCCTGTTTTCCACCACCACCACTACCATAAGTTGGAGGGGGAGGGGGCCCTCCTCCTCCTCCTCCTCGTCGTCCTCCTCCTCCTCCTCCTCGTCCTCCTCCTCCTCCTTCCCCCCTCCAACGTATGGTGGTGGTGGTGGACAACAGGCCCATCATGGCGCAGGACCGGCGCGGCCTGGCCAGGCACCTCGAGCCAGGCGCGGGCGTGGAACCCAAGGCGTG